CTTCAGTGGTGGGACACCCATGGTGGGGCTGGCCAGGAGAGCCACCAGCGGGTCGCAAACCAGCTTGGCAGCTGTGGGCAGATGCTCGGTGCAGGGCGAGGACAGGGTGTCACTGCCTGCCCAGAGTGTCACAGCTCCCACCCTGCTGGGGCAAGCCCCGCGGCAGGATGGCAGGCCCCCATTCCCAGCCGGCGCAGACGAGCTCCAGTGCCTGCTGCCCCGCTGACAGCAGTCAGACATCAGAGAGTGGCAGAAGGAGCTGCTGGTCCAGAGATCAGCTGCCGTCCGTGCAAAAGGTGTCATGGACCCGATCCCTGGCCTCCCTCGCCCTGTGCTCGCCCCCTCCTGCCCCACACCTCTCCCCGTGTCGGGATGATGGGCCAGCTCTCACCGTGACACATGGGATTATTGCACCGCACACCGAGGCATTAAATATTGAGCAGCAGTTAAATGCTCATTAGATAAATTTAAACACTGAGACCCAAGGAGCCATTAAATATGCAGCGTGCAGGGTGGGGGGATCTGGTGACTGACTGCACGCCAGCTCCTCTGCACGGAGCTGCTACGAGCTTCCCAGCCCATCTGAAGTCTCTCTGCTGTAGACACGTCTGCTCCATCTTCCAAAATGTTGTCTTGCAGCAGCCTTTGCACAGCTGCAGGGGTGGGGGAGAGACGAGCCCTGGGAAGCAGCAGGCTGTGGAAGAACAGCTCAGCACAATGAAGAAAAGAGCGCAGTGCCGGGGCAGGGCGGCCCCAAGCAGAGAGCGATCTCCTAGCCCATGGCCAGCCTTCCTGCAGCCAGCTGTGGTGGCCTCAGGGCTATCCCGGAGCTCTGCTGTGGGGCTGTGCAGGGCCACAGTCCTCCCCGGGGGCCAGCACGTCCTGGGGACATGGCACGGCACAGGGCAGGCAGGGTGGCCGGCTGTGAGCCTGTCCCTGCTGAGCTCCGTCCTGCTCCATCCCCGGACTCACACATCCCGGTCAGTACCCACATAACCTGGGAAGTGTCTGAACATCCAAGGACAAACCTGTCCCCAGAGCCAGGACAGCCCGTACCTGGTCTGGGCACATCTCTGCCTGTCCTGCAGCGGTGGCTTGCTCCGTCATTTCACTTTAACTTTTCATTTTCAGGCTGCTGTGTGGGGAACGTGACCACCCAGGCACTAGTTTTGTGGAGCAAAGCGGGCGTTCAGCTCCTCAGGGGAGACCTCTGCAGACACGAGGGGTGCCGAGGGCTGCACCCACCCATCAGTGTGTTCCCATGGAGGAGGGCAGGGCTGCCCTGTGACAGCTTTGAGGAAAAAAAACTGCTCCTGCAGGGAGCAAACCCACCCGCTACAGCCCTGGCTCCGGGCAGGAAAGAGACCAGACCCTTCTCTGCGCCCCAGCAGCAAGAGGTGTCACCCTATTCCCACGCTGCCACCAGCCCCAGGGTCAGGCCCCTCCGCAGCTCCAGTGCCTGGGTCCTGTGCTCTGCCCAGAGCTGCTCTTCAGACACCTCCTGGCACTACTGGAGAAGGCAGCACCCCTGGCATCGCTGCAGAAGGCAGCACCCCTGGCACCGATGGAGAAGGCAGCACCCCGGCACCGCTGGAGAAGGCAGCACCCCTGGCACAGTTGGAGAAGGCAGCACCCCTGGCATCGCTGGAGAAGGCAACACCCCTGGCACCGCTGGATAAGGCAGCACCCCTGGCACCGCTGCAGAAGGCTGCACCCCTGGCACCGCTGGAGAAGGCAGCCCAGCCCGGCGAGGTCACAGCAGGGACATGGTACCAGACCCCTCGACCCTGTCAGAGCCAGCCCTCATCCCTCCGCATCCCGGGATAACCGCTGCCAGCACAGGTTCCCCTCACACAGCTGATGCACAAACCCGGCCGTGCTGGTGCAGATGGCAGGGGCGGGTGCCAGGTGGCGGGTGGCGGGGCAGGACAGGACAGCATGGGTTCACAAAGGGGAAATTGTGCTTAACCAGCCCAACAGCCCGGTAGGATCAGGTGACTGGACTGGTGGATGGAGGGGATCAGCGGATATTGGTTTCTTCAACTTTAGTGATGCTTTTCATCTTGTAACATCCTCTTAGGCATGTGGATAACCTGTGGATTATGTAAGCAGACAGTGAGGTGGTCTGAAAAATTGCAGAGCGGCCAGTCCAGAGGGTTCTTCCT